AACGTCAGAAAATTATTTAGGGATATCTGTGCAATGTTCCCCGAGAGGGCTTTTAGGGAGGGGTGACAGCGCACGCGCGGGCAGGATGTATAACGCAAGACAAATTGAGAGCATCAGTGCGAAAGGGAATGCAGCAAAATAATCGTTTTATTTCGATTTACGTTGTTTCGTAATCGTTGCAAGCCAAAATCGAGATTACAATACGATTAATTGCACAGCCCTAGTGTAGAGTATTGTGAAGAACCATAAAAAGTAGGTGTTCTGATAATAATGAAAAAGCTCATCACTCATTTGTGTTTCATCTCCATTGACCACGTCCCACCTGTCTCTCCTGACCTCCACCTTTGGTTGACCAGGCGTGCTCTCCTCTTCGTCCTCCTCTCCTCCAGTCTCCTCTTCTTCTGCCACCCCCGCCGCCTCTGCCAACTCCAGCCCCCTGAAGGACGCTTCCTCTCCGGCAGCAGCTCAGCCTCGAACGGTCCGCCGCGCACCTCAAGGCCCCCAGGCCCTGATGCCCCTGCCCTGCAAGAAGGCCGAGGGGCTGCAGTATAACAGCTTCAAATGTCCAGAGTGCCAAACACAGTTCTCTGGCAAGGCGGAGCTGGTCACTCACTTCCAGCAGATCAGAGCTGCTCCCAACTCAGTGAGTCTTTGTCGCTATGACGCTGGTACCTGATGTTAAGAAACACTGGTGATCACCGTTTGATTTTCTTATCTTCTGTTTCAGACGTGTACGCAGTGCTCGCCCCCCATGATGCTGCCTAACTCGTGTGCAGTGTCGGCCCACCAGAGGATCCATAAACACCGAGCGCCTCATGTCTGTCCTGAGTGTGGGGGGACCGCCCGGCAGGCCAGCTTCCAGACTCATCTGGAGGAGGCCTGCCTGCACTTCGCCAGGCGCATCGGATACAGGTGGGGAAACACTTCCAAAAAACATCAAGACCTTAAATACTTCTCTAAATGATCTTGTAATATAGCTTCAAATCGTGTCTATGCCTTGACAAGAGTAAATCACTTGACTATTTATTTCACATAGGCTATTCTTTTTTATAGATGACCCAGAGCACCAAAGGGACACTTGATGCTTAATACTTGAGTGCATTGAAAACTGAATTTGTTCTTTGATTATCTTCACCAACAGTTGTTTTTAAGCAGAGTATTATTATTTGTTCTTATTTAAGAAAGTAGAAAATCATATATCTTCACTTTCCAGAACTGTTCTTGTAGATCTGCCAAAAATAAAATGTTCAGTAATCAGTAGTCATACAACAGCCAAAGTCCAAAATGTTTATTCAGTGATTCAAAGTTGAAATAAAAATGGCTTGTGTTTAAGAAGTCACATTTGCATCTGCATTTTGTCAATGCATTGGCCATTTTCCTAATTAGATGCAAATAGACACAAAAAGTAATGTCTACTGATTTGAAATGTTTATAGTGGACATCTAGGAATATACACATCAAAGACATCCTTTAAAATATGTTGTACCCTAACACATCATTCTCTGTGTCATAATCTTCTCCAGGTGCTCGAGCTGCCAGGTTGTGTTCGGAGGGTTGAACTCCATCAAGTCCCACATCCAGACCGCTCATTGCGAGGTCTTTCACAAGTGCCCCAGCTGCCCCATGGCCTTCAAGTCTGCACCCAGCGCCCAGAGCCACATCAGCACCCAGCACCCAACGCTCACTGGGGGACAGGCCAAGTACGTGTAGACCCTCTACCAAAACAACACGTGGTCATCTTCAACCCATGTGTGTGGAAATACCTTGGTTGCCACACATTTTGAAGTTTTCTTTTCATTCTTCTTTTGCAGAATGATCTACAAGTGTGTGATGTGTGATACGGTGTTTACCCAGAAACCCCTGCTGTACATGCACTTTGACACTCACTTAGCCAAGCAAAAAGTGCATGTGTTCAAGTGTCCTGACTGCACCAAGCTCTACGCCCAGAAAGGATCCATGATGGAGCATATTAAGGTGTGTTTATTATTGAGGAAACAATCCACAGATCATAGATGTTAGTTAATTAGATACTGCCTAATATCACTGGAATTCATGTATTAGCCTTTCGCCTTTATGTGTTGCCCATTCGTTGCTTTCTACAGTGAATATGGTGTCAAATAAGGCATTCAGCAATTTCTTGTATCGGCCTTAGCAAGGTTCCTCCCCAGTGGCCTTGTCTTAAGTTCTATACCAAGAACGGTTATGGCGCATTTCCACTACAGGGCCTCGCTAGGCCTCGCTCGGTATGGCTAGGCCTCGTTAGGTCTTGTTAGGACTGGCTCACTTTATGCTGCATTTCCATTACAGTTTAGTAGCTGGGGCAGTAACTATAGTAACGCAGTGTAGGCGGAGCCGTGACATCATCTTCAATGAGAACCACAGAAAAACAACATCAGCCGTTAGCTGTTAGCACTCAGAGCTCACAGCTCCTCATAGCTGTTCAGAAACTAGACAACATTTAAAGAAGTACAAACCACAGATTGTCTGTGTCATGGCGAATACAGTCGCTGGTTTATTTATGTCTGTATAGGCCGTTGTTGTGAGTGTGGACGGTCGGAGCATTTACTGCGTTAGCTTAGCCGATCTCCATTTAGAAAACACGCATTTTAAAAGGTTTTTTGCCTGCCGTCTGTCTGCAGACTTGTCAAAGCATTAATTCATGTCATGTCCGGCTGTGGCTCAGTCAGTAGGGGGTTGGACTGCTACTTGGAGAGGTCCCAGTTCACCTCCTGCCCTGCTGTGGTGCCCTTGAGCAAATCACCGGACAACCCCCTTCCCCCCTCACTCCCATTGCTCCCCGGGCGCTGTGCAATAGCTGCCCGCTGCTCCTAGTACTAGACTCCTGGTACTAGGATGGGTTAAAAGCAGAGAACGCATGTCACTGTGTGTGCTGTGTGCTCTGCATGTGTGACCATTAAAGAGGGTTTCATCCCTCCCAATATTAATTCATGGTTTTTACTAACCGGTATCAGTATGTTGTTACTTCGGCATAATTTTTTTAACGTGTATTACAATTAAATCACGGTCAAATATGTTCATTTTGTTGTAGTTGTAGCCCCCTTGCCAGCGATTCTCTCAGCCTGGTTGTTGGCCCGGAAAGAACCTCGATTTTATGGGGCCAGAAAAACTGTGAAATAATACCTGCTAGCCGGAACTACGCCAAGTGGAAATGCAACCAAAAACGGGCCGGGCACAGCACGACACGCTTAAAGCGAGCTCCGTGTTGTAGTGGAAATGCACCATAGTACCAGAAATAAGTTTGTGTTTTTTTTGTGCCAGTTGGAGTAGGTTTGTTTCTTTAAAGCTACGTTTAATTCCTTTTGTATACTGTATACTCTGTACGCTCTGTGTTTTCTCACACTCCCCTGTGTCCCCCTCAGACGGCTCACAGAGGCCCATCAGCCAAACAGACGGAGTCTCAGTCCGACGCCTCGGCCCCCCCCTCGGCCCCCGCCAACACGTCCGCCTCCTCTGTCCTCAAATCCAAATCGTCTGGAAAACCAGACAACTCAGACGGAGAGGACTGGGGTCGGGACCAGGAGGAGGAAGAGGAGGAGGAAGATGATGAAGATGACGATGCTGACGATGACTTTGAGGCTCCAGGCGGTAACTCGACCGCCCCGGGGGGCAGCATTCAGCCCCCCGCCCCAACTGAGTGGACCTGCCCTCAGTGTCAGACCACCTTCACTGACAACGACGACTATCTGAGTCACGTGAAGACGGAGCATGGCAAGGTACAGCAAATTATTTTCTATTTTAATCGGATTAATATCTGTGGTTAATCCAAGATTAAGAAATGTTCTTGTTTTATTCTACAACATTAAATACGCCAAATACCCACCCCAGTGGTAAATGGCAGAAGCTTCTTTGTTTCCTAAAATTGGTGGTTGATAAAGCATTACGCCAAACATTAGCTTCCTTTGGCCTAGCGGTGGTTGACCCCCAGCCATCCATCCGTTATGTTTGTTTATAGCCAAACGATCATTTTGTAGTCCTGTCAACTGCATTTACACTTTCAAAAAGCACAAAAGTGGTGTTAATATGCACATATTATCCTACTGAACAAAATGTGTGTGTATCAAAAATGTGTGTTTGCCATGGTCCTATTTCATGCAATATTCCAAGGTCCAATGAAAAGATCCCATTGCTTTTTTTTGTAGAGGAACCCCATGAAATTCTTATTTTCAGGGTTGGCTTTTCATAAACACATTATCTCTGCACCACTGTATTGAATCCAATGATTAATGTACCAACAGTTGAACTAGCTAATTGTACTGTGTGAAAGGAGGAATGACCCTGATCATGGAGGGTAAAGCTGAAAAAACAAGCACCGGTACTTGAAGGCTTGAGGCTGTTAATTTCCTGTCTGCACTGCAGTATCTTTGACTGAGACTCAATTAGTTTTTATCTTATCTCTATCTGCCTTTGTGTGTGCCGCCAACTCCTAAGTTCCCATGTCGTATTTGTGGAGGCACGTTCAGCACGTCTTCCAGCCTGAGACGTCACGAGCGAGTCATTCATGAGGGCAACAAGAGGGTCTTCCATTGCCAGTGAGTGGCCTCAGCTTTTATTAAATACATGTTTTATCATTTCAATGTTTCGCCAAAAGAAAATCACTGACTGATCTACTGTTTATGCATCTGAACTACTGCTATTGTAATCAGAATTAAAAAAAATCCCAAATGTCGCTCATTTTATGGTCCAAAAGGTTTTTATATGCTTTTTGAACACTTCATAATTATTTTTCAGATATTGCACAGAAGGGAAACGCACCTTTGGTAGTCGGTTCCTGCTGGACAAGCATATCCGGCTCCATCACAGATCCACAGACGGACAGGTGAGTTTAGACGGTTTCTGGACATAAAGAGGATAAAGCCGTTTCCCAACACTACACCATGCATATTGCATCGTTTCCTGCTATAGCAAAACAGTATCATCTTTATTATTATAACTGCAAATAGTATCTTTTCATATGTTTATACAGTAGCACAGTATACAATGTGAATGTAGCGTGGATATAACGAAAAGGTTCTAGTTTATAGTTTAGTATATGTTTTTTCTCTTAAATGATGGCAAGCACTTTGAATTGCCTTGTGTTGAAAGGTGCTATATAAATAAACTTGCCTTAAATAGTCAATAATAATTGAATTGTGTTTTAGGTGTCTGTTGTATAAATTGTCTTTATTAATTATGTACTGTGGAATTTAGAGACAGCAATGGTGTTCATCAAAAAATAAATTCAGAACAATGTTTACTCTCTCTTCCTTCTTGTGTCCTCAGGAAAGACCCATGACCAGGAAGCGAGCAGCGACAGGGGGGGAGGGGCCCGGCAGCTCCTCGGAGCAGGACGGGGAGGGGGGGCCACCTGGAGCCCAGGGGGGAAACGAGGAAGAGAACACAGAGGAGGGTGAGGAGGCTCCTTCAGGTCCCCCAACTCCTGCCAAGAGGACCAGGCAGTCCGCTGCATCGACATCGCTGGCCCCCAACGAGCTGGAGGAGGAAGACAACGTTTTCCGCTGCGTCCCCTGCGGCTTCTCCAGCGAGGACGGGCCGGAGTTCCAGCGCCACATCCCCCAGCACCGCGCAGACACCGCCTCCTTCCAGTGCCTGCAGTGCGGCGTCTGCTTCGCCTCGGCGGGCTCCCTCAGCAGGCACCGCTTCATCGCTCACCGCGTGCGGGACAACCAGGGCGACGCAGACCGCGGCCCCCCCCGCGCTCACGGCTCCCCCGACGGCTCGCCCGACGGCTCCCCTCAGGCGCAGGGCGAGGACGGAGACGGGAACATGAGCTGCAAGGTGTGCGGCCGGCGGTTCGACAAGGCCTCGGACCTCAATACCCACTTCAGGACCCACGGCATGGCCTTCCTCACCGCACACAAGACAGACAAGCCCCAGTAGAGGAGGGGAGGGGGGGGCTCGGAGATCATCTACGAGGAGTCGACAGGATGTAGAATATGAATGTTAATCCTGAGAAGAAACAGCTGCTTCCTGTGCAGTTTTTTTTTAGCCACATAAACAGTTTTACTCTAATCTACGGCACCTCTTCTTTGCGATTGTAACTGCATGTTTGATCATGTGACTGAACACACACCAGTGATAGACTCCTAAGTGGAAAGGCTCTCAAACGGCCCAGAGGAAAGCATTTATATATCAGCCATACTGTGTTCAATACGTTGTCCTTCCATTTCACTCTGCACTGACTGTAGCCACTTGCCTGTTTTCCATGTAACACTAATATACATATGCCCCGCCCCCCCACTGTATCCTGACAGCTGTAGTGCCGATATTTTTGTACCTGACATTGTTTGTGATTTTATACGTTTGTCCATGTTCATTATTTCCAGCATGAGATCATTTTTATTGTTTAAAACTGATCTCGAGACGCATGAAAAGGGGGGGGGGTGTTTGAAGAATTCAACCCAGATTTTTATGTTGCTATAATATTTATTTATACGAAACACATTACTGCTATTGGTATTTCTGTGAGTCGGACATGTTGAGATTTAGGAAGGAAGTCATTAGAGATGGGTTACTGGAGGTCTGTAAGCTGTGTAGTGTGCATAATGTGCGTTAATCGTCAAGCTAGAAGAAGAGCGGTCAGGCGTCCTGCCAGTAGAATATGTGTACGTTTAGCCCTGTAAATACATATTACACTAAAAGAAAGCATTCTGGTTTTAGTAACTTGCTATGATAATGTGAATACGTATAGTATTTGTATTGTTCCCTTTCTTTTAAAAAAAGTTTAAAATAATTCCCCCCCAGAGGTAGCTATACATTGTAATTACAGAGCGGAGGGAGGGCGCGGGGGTTGTGTTGTCTTAATGTGTATGAATACAAACGTTTATCTCGTGGGACAGTTCTTTTTTATCGACAGAATCAGTGCTTGCTGTACTCACTATTTATTTTATATGTTTTTAAAAGCAGCCTTCATGGTCATGTGACGGAGGCCTTCTTTTGTTTGTATCTTTTATATGTCATGATATCATATTTATATAGCTCAATAGTGGAACATCTTATGTCTTTTTCTTTTCCATGGTTGTGGTCTGCTTGCCATACACTTTGTGCTGTTTTGAAAATAAATGTGTAAAAGAGACAATTGACTTCATCTGAGTCACACACAGTGTTTACAGATTATTTCTGTTTACAAATGGGACTGTTTTCATTTATCTGCACCAGAATAGATATTCAAATAAAACAGTCAGACATTTACAAAGACAGCTTCATTAGTAAGCACAATATAAATAACATTTACTGCACACATGACAGTTGTTCTCCTCTTTATCATGGCTAAGCAGGTTTTACACACTCCGGCCCTCCGAACTCCAGCCCCATCTTGCCCTCAGTGACCTCCAGACACGAGGTCTGGAGCTCAGCCGCAGTGGGGGGGTGGTGGACTTCAATCATCAGCTCATAGATCAGTGTTCCCAGCAGCGCCCCGACACAGGGAGCCACTATGGGCACCCACCACCACCCGCCTCCAGCCCTGTGGAGATAGATCATTCGCGTGGGTCAAACGAGGGCAAATTTCACAGATTAAATGAATGGCCTCAACTACTCACTTAAAAACATCAACCCCCCAACCAGCGATGTATGTGAAAAGTCGAGGCCCGAAATCCCTGGCCGGGTTGATGGCGTAGCCGCTGTTGGAGCCCATGGAGATGCCAATCACTAACACGGCTGCCCCCACCAGCACAGGCTGAGCCCCGTCAGGGAGGGGGCTGTTCCTCCAGTCGCCCAGAGCCAGGACACACAGAAGCAGAGCAGCCGTGCCGATCACCTAGAAGACATGGGAGTGTTACACACATGAAGAAAGGCACCATGTGTGTATATATATATATATATATATATATATTTAGAGCAGGTGCAGAATGATAGATTCAAACCTGGTCCACCACTCCCCCCCACACACTGAGGTAGTCAGCTGGGTAGGTGGAGAATATCCCTGCGGTGGCAGTGGGACCTGTCACTGTCAGCACTCCTCCGCTGTACGTCTGGATGGCATCTGTAAAAACAAACACATGTAGCATTACCAGAGAGATTTGAGCATGATTAAAGTACATAGAAGTTGTGCTACTTAAAAAATTAAATCCTATTTATTGAATAATTATCTTTCAGTGTAACTAAATGTGTACTGATGTACAATTAATTGTCAATGACTGCTTTTTTCAGGGATCAATATTATGTCCAAATTGTAATGAAGTAGATTTTTAATGCGTCTTAATGGTGTTTCAGAGCAGAACAATCAAAGTACACTTAAATCTGTTTTAGTATATACCAGATACAAAGTCGTATTGTTTATAGTAATCCACTGAAATGACCGACAGTCTCTTAAAAGTCCTAATCCAATAGTCCCTAACAAATGTAAAAGTTATTCTACATTTAGTATTACTTGATTGAAACTATAACCCAGCTGTTTTTGAAAGTGATTGTTCCTTTTTTGCAGAAGGAATCTTTGTGACCTGTTTTTCTGAATGGGCTTTGGGCCACAGAAATGGTTGTTAAGTTAATAAAAGAAAAAGAGACGGACTAATGCACGTTGACAATAAGACAAAGGCCCAGTTTTTCCTTTAATATGGACTGTCCTCTTGTATATTTAGAACATTTCTGGTTCCTTTAAAAGTGCTCTTCAGCAGATGGTGTGATTGTGACTGCAGTGATCATGGTCGAACTCACCGTAGTACTGCAGGCCGACGGTGGCAGCAGCCAGAAAGGCTCCGAGCACCTGGAAGAAGACGTAGAAGGGCAGCTTCAGCCAGGGATGTCTGCCCAGAACACACAGGCTCAGAGAGACAGCAGGGTTCAGGTGGGCGCCTATGGAGGAAAAGAATGAAGACTGAGACATTCAGAATTTAAAAACAGATGTAGGTCTCCTGAAATCGACTAAAATAGAATGTCTGGATTACTCCCAGCGTTTCCAATGGTGTCTTCCATTTCATTCATTATGTGTACATTGTTGGAGCACATTAGAAGTTCCTTTAACCTCCTGGGACCCAGCCCATTGAAAAGGTCCACTGTAGTGGACATTTTGTTAACATGCATCTCCTTTGACTCTTTTGAGCTACTCTATGAATCCCTGTTGTACTGAACAGAGGACATCCTGGTCTTTCCAGTGATATGTCATTGGTTAAAATTGCATGTTGGGAAGTTCCTCTTTCTTTTCATCCAAAATGGCTGGCATACCAAAAACAAAATGTTATAGAAGCAGGAGGAGAAGTCAAATATTGTTGAATAATTGTAATTTTCATCATGAAAATCATATATATTCTTGTTTATTAACATGTGAGGAACTATATAATTAGTTCTGAAAGCAATTAAATAATTCAAGTTTTGAAATAACAGCTCTTTTATAAATGTCCATTCTAGTGGACGTCAGGACCATCTTCATGGACTTAATGACTCAATATTGTTGCAGGAGACGGAACTGAAGCAGACATTTTCTGTACCAGATAGTTCAGGGAGATTAAGATNCTAAACCACAATTAGGGCTGCTCGATTATGGCAAAAATCATAATATCGATTTATTTGGGTCAATAATTGATATCACGATTATTAGAAACGATTATCCATTGACTAATGGATAATCGTTTCTAATAATCGTGATATCAATTATTGACCCAAATAAATCGATATTATGATTTTTGCCATAATCGAGCAGCCCTAATTGTGGTTTAGTTTCTAACCTCGTACTAGTTCTAAGGTGCTGATACACATTCATATGTAATAAGCATCTCACACATTAGTGTTAGCTTAGTCTTTTATCAAGTACCTAATAGATTTCCCCACTATTTGCACAACTATACATCATCAATTACTCCTTACAAATATTTGTCCTGATAAGTAGTGTACAATGTTTACTGGCAGTTAAAATGCATCCAAACGTTGCTTACCAGGGCGAGTTCTGGGTCAGCACTGGGATCCACACCAAACTCAAAGTCGCTGGCACCAAGACCCATCATGGAGCCTCCTTCCCCGGCCAGGATGGGAGAAGAGAGCAGCGCATCAGCCAGGCTGGGCCCCGGAGGGACGGTGACCAGGTGGGAGCCGGTCCCCTCCTTCCCATTCAGAGTGTTGATGAAAGCAGTCAGCTTCTCTGTGTTCAGCTCCTGAAAATAACAGAAGGAGACAGACAAGGTCAGTTGAAACTTAATTTAGAAAAAAGGGGAAGACATTTCAGCAATGGAAATCAATACAAATGCTATATTGTGGGTTATTATCCTTTGTCAATAGAAGATACATTCAGAACTCCTACCTCCTCTCCAAAGTTGATAATATCCACATTCACTTTCTCTTTTTTCAAGCGCTTTGCCAACTTGACAAGCTGCAGGGTGAGATGAGGAAAAAACATTTGAAGTGATATTGACAGTGTGAAAAGAGTTAAACATATGATGTATAATGGGTAGGAAGTTTTGTGTGTGGGATTGGCACAAAATGTGATAAAGACTTCCAACTCACTTCTTTTTCATTATCCTCCACAGGACTCCCAACAAAGGCAATGATCCTCATCTTGTGGTTTTTTCCTTGTCTGTGTTTCAGGGCCAACTGTGCAGGAAAAACATATCAAAAATATGGGTACTCAAAAACTGATGCAGCAGAAACCAAAACCCCTCTTCTTGTTTTTGTTTTTTTCCCACCAATTTAGTAGCAATAAATAGAGCTCCTTCTACTGAGTTTGACACACATATTCAAGTTACACACATGAGCCACTCTGATGCCCACGCAGAAGCAGATGTTTCCTTTGGGCTGGATAGCATGGAGTTTGGACAAGATGCGGCCAGAATCTGGAGTCAGTGTTGTCAGGACCTCCGCGTTACTGTATGGAAACATGACAAACATCTATGGTTAGTTATAATAATCATCGGCCATGTGCAATTAAAAAAAAAATGTTCAGATATTTTGCCATTACTATAATGTAGTCATATCATTTGTATGTGTGCAATATTGTAAACTTTGACCATTATATATGTAAGCCCTGTGGGTTTTCATCCATATATTACTTTTTTTAACTTTGTAATTCTGCTCAAAAACGTACACCAACTGTTTTGTAAAATAACGTTTTGATGATCATCCAAACTTTGACCATTTTGAGAGAACTACTTACTTTGCCATTGTGATGAGGCCCACATTGTTTTCCGGATTGCTTCTTGTTTTTGAGTGGCAAACAATGTTGACAGCATCCTGTTGAGCCTGTAGCCTCGTTGGTAGAAAGTCTCCATTTCTCATGTATTCACTGTTGTCCACACTGCAGAGATAATATCAGTTTAACGTTGCTCTTATAGCATTACTTAGCTCACCAGCTAGCATCTGACATGTCATTCCCATATCTACTGTGACCAGGCTAGTTAGCCTAGGGAGGCCTAGAGGCTAGTTTACATTGTTAAAACATCTCAATTACGCTTCACAGTCAGCTCCGTGTGGAAATCTCCGTCGTCTTCACCGGGAGGTAACTATGTAGTTAAATTGCGTCGTCAGAAAACCAGCATTAGCATGGTGGGCTAACGATAGCAATTGGTTTTAGCTCATAAGTCGCAACAATCAAATCAACGGAAGATGTCAGTTTCGATAGAAAGCACTCAATTGTAACGAATAGCATTCGTCAATGTGGTTTTATGAGTTACAGCTAAACAAATACTTGAAATCTAAGCATATCTCAGCTAACTTGAGCTACAATGACTCAGCCCGGCTAAACGTCAACGGTCGATAATCAGCTCAGTTAAACGGGACATTTGCTCAAAAACAGGTCAAAAAACCACTAAGTCGCGTAATTATTTATTAAAGGCTGAATGAACCGTAAACATTACGACAAATGCACACAAAAAAGGGTATTTGTAGAGTTCTTACCAGACCATAGTACTTTCCAGCCCCATTTTGGAAACTTCTTGTTGCTCTCTGTCGTAGCCTTACAAGCTCACAGGCTATTGGACAAATGCTGAACAAAACGGAATCTGATTGGCCGGGCTTTGTGACCTGTATTTCACATAGTAATTTGTTGATGAACAAGAAAGTAGAATAATATTAAACTTTAACTTAAAGTCTGCTTTTTAGCCTTTTCTGGAGCTTTCAAGTGAATCTCATATTCAATATTCACTTTAATTCAACGTTATATATTCTATTTCACTCAATATCTGTTTATGAATTCCTGTTTGTAGGTTTTGTTGGGAACTTGGATGTGCCTTGTGGTTGAAAGATAGATGAGTAGACATGGATAAAAAGGCCAAAGTCAATACAATGTGTAAGTCAATGTTTATATTAAGATTATATTGAAATTGGTTATGTTCTTTATATTTCAATCCAGTTATGTTTATTAAATTGCTAATATAAAATGGAAATCTACCTCAACATTTATATTGTCTTGCAGTATTTATAGCATACTGCAAAACACTGAAAGAGATTTAAGGTTGATCTGTATAATGCAAACAAATCAACAGACAATTTTACAATTTCCTTCTTTAATAATTTCAGGTACAAGTGTAGAAAAACAGTACATCCCTTGTAAATATATAATCTGTGAAAAGGCATTGCTGTGGTTCCTGCATAGGTGTGCACACATTTATTGTATATAATTCAAAGGCAAGTGAAGACCAGCTAACAAATTATACAGAAAGAAATACATTATGATTTAAGAAAGCAGCCTTAGATACAGGCATGCTGTGCTATAGAAAGGCACATTTTAAATCCATTATCACTATTCATAAACATTCTAGGCACCAGAGCAATACATTCAGTAATAAATACTATAATACATATAACTATGTACATGTTAGGTTCATAGGCTGCATGTGCGACTGATTTGGAGTTTATTCAATGAGAAACAATTTTACTTTAAATATGGGGACATAATTGGCTGACAGATTGAACAGCCAGCAGAATAAAATATAATTTACAGGAAGTATAAATGAACCCAAATGATGCTTTTTAAACTTATGTTGGTGGGAATATTATCAATTAATTTAATGTTATGCATCGTTTTATCATTCAGGAATATATACGATGTAAACAAAGATTTTTGTTGCATGGTCAAAGCATCTTTCAATGTTAAATTAAGACAAATAAAATTAAAACTGTGCCTTGGTTGGGGCCTGTCAAAAATATTCTTTAGTTTATGAGCCTCAACACACTTTACACTAACAATTTGTGTATTTTTCTTAATGGTTTTATTAAAAGATGACAAATGTTATATTTACGTCATTATTATCACCATTAACCATAGGAAGTCCCACTGTAATATAAGAGCAGGAACAGGAATACAAAAAGCTTAAAATAATAAAACAGTCAAACACGAATCAGGTTGAAAATATACTTAATATATGGTTGACATAATTAGTAGAGGTGTTGGAAGTAGATTACTCAAATTTAAATAATCCATGTTGAGTTTATACTTAGCTTTTTTCACTTATAGCATCGGACCACAAATAGTGCCAACTTGCAAATAAAAATACTTTATAAAATGTGCTATAGTTTGAAGTATTCAGCAACAAAGTCAAAAACTCCTTTGAAACCATATTGATAATTTCCTTTTGGCCACTGCATCCCACCCAATGACATTCGGCAAACTTTTTTTCTCGTGGATGAAATGTAAAAAGATAAAAACGGCAAGCACGCACACATACACCATCCAAAAAGAAACAAACAGTTTTGTGTGCAGTGGCTGCAGTGTTAGAATGTGTTCATACTACACTGAACAAATAGGAATACTATGAAACAATAGTTTATAGACTACAGGTACATCTAAGTTAGCATTGCCCTGCATGTTTAGAGACGTAGTGGGACACCTTGTACTGCAAGCATGTATTATATTATAATACCAATGTAATAAATTATAATGAAAACAAGATGATTGTACTGCATTTGTAATAATGTCATACACACAGTGTACATGACACTTTAAACTAAATGCTGTTTTTGTTTTAACTCCTGTAAGAAAGGGGCCTGTAAGAAAAGGGAATTGTCACGCTCACAGCCCATATGTAAGGAGTTCTTTTATCCACACTAAATTTAGCTGACTAACTCACTATTCTTGCTTCATGAGACAGACCCAAGCTCAGGGTTTGTTGTGGTGCTTTGTTTAAAGCCATTCGAGTACCAGTACTTGCGTCACATTTGGACATTGGACATGTACACACTAGGCCTGAAATTGATATCAGATCGTACAGTTTATAAGTATAAACACTGCTTTCAATAAACCTTTTGACCTGAACATGAGAGGAGTCATTTAGAATTCACAGTCAGTTATTATAATGGCTGGTTGAATAGAAAAGGCAAGCTGAGGACCACGTGTTCTTCTAGCATGGTTTGCATTAAGAGTAGACTTGAAAAAGGCAGCATACCCATTATGAATACAGTAATTTCAGTAAAAAATTAAAACTTTTATTTAAAATTGTGTTCTGAAACACATATGACATGGTTTGGTGTTAAAGCATTCAAGCCATACATGATACTCTGGGCTTGAGACACTTACAGATCCAAGTATGCATGATGATGTGCGACAGCGTTTGTTATACACCAAAGAAGGAGAAATAAAAAAAAAAGAATACAATTCAATTGGTAACATTGCTTAAATAAGGCAAAGTCCTCTTGTTACACTCTAAATGGAGATGGGCACATCGGTGCCAAGAATAATCCTTGATTGTGCATAAAAAAGCTTTCCAATGAGATGAATAATAGTGTTCAATAAGCATCATAGCCTTAATGTACCCGCAATCACTAGTGTCCGACACAACCACCCGCTAACATGCTCACACCATGTTGAGATTTGGAAATCAAAGTGCAAAAACTAAACAAAAAAACATTTAAAATCCCACTTGGTCTCACTGAAACGATATATAACTATACCTCAAATCTCACCAAATGAGAGGTTGTAACATTTGTGCTCATAACATCTTCCAAGCTTGTCTCTGTTCATTTTTCTACACCTGTAAACCAAAAACAATGAACACAATTAAAAAAGAAAAATACCCAGAATGAGCTAAAGGTGTCACAAGATTCAGAGGATTTTATTAACTTACAGAGCATTTGCTTGCAGCAGGAACAATGTCACGAAGTGAGACGACCTCCACAGAACCGATTTCTTCCATCTGAGTTCTGCAAGCAACACAGGAGCAGAGTAGTAAAATTGAACAATATAACTCATTGTGAGAAAAACGAATATACAACAAAACTACAACTTCTGTTCTGATAAAAAGTTATTCACTTAAATCCTTCTAGTTACTTCCAAAAGTATACATAAACTATTCCTCGTTTTTAGTTAGGTTGTTATTTAAAAGTTTAGATGTCCCTTCTTAAGACGCTGCACTTCCTCAACACGCCGTATTTCCTGAGGTTCTGGTTAGTTGACATTTCTGCAGGTATACCAGTGTAATAGTCATAGCCATTAACAGTACGATCGTTGGGATTTGTACAACGCCTTTAAAGAAGGTCTTTGAGGCTTAAACCAAAGCAGAAAACTTTATAAAAAATGATAATGCCTCATTCACCATAAAGATTTTTTTTTTTTATCTGCAAGTAAAAATGTTCATTATCGACAAGGGTTGGGCTGTAATGGCGAAATGATACCAGATTCAATACCAGGACCCGTCAAGTGATACAAATATCAATACAGAACATCCTGTATTCATTATGCGTCATGTGAATAGTCGCTTTCGAGCCTGAGTACTTGTCCCAGGAGTAGTTCCGATAGTTCCTGGAATTTTGCGTTCACACCAAAAAGATCTGGAACTAGAATGTTTTTTTGCGAACCTTTTCGCCCCTTTTTAGCAAGCCCCCAGGAAGTGCCCCGGACTCTGAGGAAAATATTCGTTGTGACCAAACGGCGGTACTACACTTCCATATCAGTCGCTGGGCCCGGATATACTTTTTCCCATTGACTAACATTGGGAAAGAGACGTCTGTAAATCGTTTTTTTTTTTTAAACTAAATAAACTACCCAGTATGAACATTTGTATAGCCCTTATTAAAAACATTCGGTCCTCAAGTTGTAAAATGTGCTAATAACGTTATTTTCCTCGGCATTATGAACGCGGATCTAACCCAAGGGACTGCACCGCCCGGCACGTTTATGTCACGTGTTCAGTACTACATGAGTTTTACCTTTACCCATGGATGCACAATAAGAGTGGATTATATGATTATATGAATACTTTCGTGACATTTTGCTCTCAAGAGTTGGGCCATTTTGTCTTCATGCGCCAATGAGCAACTCTCATTAATGAGAGGAAATTAACGAGGCCCCGCCTCCCACGCTGTATCCAGTTGTTATTATAGAGTGGCAAAGTCCCTCCCCTTCTGACATATACATGTATTGAAGTCAATGGAGAGAGAAAGATTATCTTTCGATCCCATTTAAATTGTGCCACGAATTACACATATGATGTTTATCAATTTAAAAGGTAATTTTGAAAGTCAAAAAAATAAAATGTGCCGTTAAACTGTGAAGTAACACATTTGTTTGTGTGAAACGCTGAAAATGAATACACGTATGTTAAGGCTAAAAAAAAATGACAAGGCTGTAATGCTAACTAACGTGCTAGCTACTAGCTAGGTAGCTAACTTGATCCAGCCACTCCTGGTCCTTTCATCAGACGGGAAGCGAAAGAACGAGCAATAGCTGGTATGATAACAACCTGGTACCAAGCACACAGGCATCTTGTTAAAGTTATCTTATCTTAGCCAGCGCCATATAGATAGATTATATATATATATATGGCGCTGATCTTAGCTATCTCTTAGTGGAGGAAAACAGTTATGACATCACTTACGCGACTCTGGGATTTGTACTCTTTCTAGTTGCGTATTTTTCATAGTCTTATATTTCAACAGTTTTACGACAAACTGTGACTTTTTTGACATGAAAATGATTGACAAACATCATGTGTGTAATTTATGGCTAAATTCAAACGGGATCGAAAGATACGTTTTCTCTCTTCATTGACTTCAATGCATAATTTTTCTGAAATAAGGTCCCATGGACCGGAAGTAGATGGGCGTGACTTCGCCACTCTATTCCGGTGTGAACGCGATCTACTAGATAGTTCCGGAACTAAAGATTTCCGGGGAACTAAGTTCCGGGAACTATTCCTGGGAAAAGTACTTGGTGTGAAAGCTCCTAAGCAATCAGTTGCGGAAAATTCAACCACCAATCCCCCACCCATAATTATTTGAATGTTTTTCAAATCAATAAATTCAAATTATATTTAAGCTGTACTCGATTAAACCAGACTACATGGCTTTAAGCTGCTACAGAAGCGGCCATTCACACATTGCATTAAATCGAAGATGGCTTGCGACAATAAGCTGCAAGAAAAACCTTACTAACAGTATTTAAATGTTATTTTAAATTAAATTATATATAAGAAAAACACACGTTTTATAATTGCCTTTTAGACTATATATTTTATAATATTTATTATAATCTATGTAAGTACCGAACACCTTTAAATATCCTGCTGAGGATCTCTCATATAAAAACATCTTCATGAGTATTTTTCCTCTTACCTCTTGGTGGTGCTGTGCTCCTGGTCTTTGCTTGATGTGTTGTTTAAATCCACTCCCACCGACATGTATGTGTCCTCAGAGGGAGGCGGAGGCTGACTTGTTGGAGCAGGGTCTCCCAAGGAGGTGGAGGAGGTGGAGGAGGCGGTTTCAGCAGGTTTGCCAACAGCGTTGCTGGGCGGTAAGGTCTTTGGGAGGAGGTCAGGACGACCTGACTGGAGGACTGGGTGGAACGGGAGTGAAAACAGTTATTGCTGTGTTGTGAGAGAAGCACTTCACATGCTGGGACACGCTGGAGGACTTAATCTGCACAAAGCAGAATGAGTTTTCTGCACTCCAGCTGAAACATACAATTCCTCTTTCCAGTTCTTACCTTTGTCTCCTTCGGTTTCTTCTTTGGTCTCATCGCTGCTTTGACTTTGGAAAACAGGGTGCTGGCTGTTGATGCTCACTTGAGTCGACAGAGGAGGCCCCGGTCCAGCCAGCTTTCTCAGAGGAGCATGTGACACGGCTCGCCGCTTCTTAGATGGCGAGGTCTTCACTACATACAAGAGGGAAAAGGATCAATGAACAGTCCTAAACTCAGACATTATGGGCTCAATGTTGGTGTCAGGGCACGAGTGTGCACTGACACGAGGAGAGGCGCTGCACAGGGTGTGGCAATGCAATCCTGGTGCCAAGATACATTCCATAATATGTTTGTGACTTTGTTTGTTGAATGGCTTAAAGGGATCCATGTTGACCCATATTATTTGCTATTGGCAGGATATTAAATCAGCATCCAAGGCAAGAAATAGGTCTCACGGAGGAAGCTCCCAACAGGAATCCCAAACTTTTATTGCATGGCAACAGTTGTGATCTGTGCTGCACTGCAGGGTTCCAGCGCTCATACTCGTGCACACAGACCTTGTTTGCACCTGGCATTAACATTCCTCTTTAGTGATCCTACCGCAGCTGGAAGTACTTCACTTCACAAGCATTAGAATATGTCTCAACATGTATCTCAAGTGATCAGATCTCATTCAAATCCAACATATCATTTCTGTTTGCCTAGACCAAATGTATTGTTGTTTTTGACGAGGCGGTAATACACTCCTCGATCCGTGTCAGCCAAAAATGAAACCCAAATAGCGAAATATGTTTGATGCACTCACATCAATATGGTCTTTTTTGACATTTCAGATGTCATACACAAATCCAGTGTAAGCGAACTAATCTGATGGTTATTAAGTTACCTATGGGAAGCAGTGATGCAGTGTTAACATCATATGGTAGCAATTAAAAGTTTGTCATTTTAGTTTGGACTACAGAGCCTATTTGTTATTATTTTACTTCACAAGGAACTTGAGAATCAGCTAGAGATAAGAATGGAGGAACAAAACAAGAGGTTTTGATGACGTATTTTCCTGCTACGTCCTTGTCTCGATGCATCAAGAGACATTAGCGTTTACACCATAAAAGATTTGTGGCCAAATGTTTCCCAGACCAGATCTACAAATAGTTTGAGAAATCCAATCACAGTGCAATCGTTAAGATGGTGAAAAAATCTACTTACATATAGATAGCTTCCTGAAGACGACATTGCACATGAACTTGTGAAATCGGTCCGCGTAGAAACTCGGTCTGTGAACCGATACAGTGTCCTACAGAAGAGGAATGATTCACGGGTTACATGTACTGTGAATATTTTCATTTATAACACAATTATCTGATAAGAGTGGTGGTACCTTACCCCATCGTGTACCAGCGCTTTCCAAGAGTGTTCAAGCCTCTTTACAAATCTGAAAAACAACACATATAGCCCAGATGACACTCAGTACACCTGAACACATCCTGGGTTAACACAGAGAGAGCATAGAAGAGAGTGTAGAGAGTGAATCAGTGACTGGATGAGGGGTTTGTAAACTTAATAAAATGTGCTTACCTATAGGACTGCAGAATGTCAATGATACCAATATACACCAGCTGCCTCTCGCCTTTTGAGTTGCGTGCTGGGATTCCTCCAGTTCTGTTCAAATTAAAACAAAAACAATTAGATTTAATGCATTTCAGTAAACATGACCGCTCTCTGGCAACTGAAAATCAGTAACTCACTTGTCCTCTGTGTCCTGTGATCCCATGCGCCCCACATCAGCCTGGATGGCCTCGATAGCAGTGCTGTAGAGGGACTTCTGACCCTGTGGCCTCCTCTGGTCCGCTGCCCCGGCAACTGCCTCTTCGCCAGCATGCTCTAAACACGCCTGATCAACATTGTGGACTCCCACCAGAAGGCTGTAGTCCATAATCTTAAAACTTTGCAAAAGCTGGAAGGAAATCAAGGAACACACCAACATGGGAATACAAATGAATTAGAAAGAGAAGAATATGAGGGGGAAAAAAGCAGATGTGTTTTTCTATTACTGATTTGTGTATGATCTTGTGTGTAATGTTTAAGCAGGCATCACTGTGGCTCTCTCACCAGACAGTCTCTCTGGAGGGTCTTGCAAACAGCATGGTACTTGTCCCCCTCCAGTAACAGCCCGTCCTGCATGTTCTGCATGAAATCCAGGTCCTTGTATGTGGGCACGGCCTTCTCCCTCTCTTTAGCTGAAGCTCGTCTCTTGTAGGTGGAGCCCTTCAGATCGTACTTGAGGTGCATCCGCACGGAGCTCGGCAGCAGATTGTTCATGACTACAATGCGGATGTTCTTACCCGCTGCCTGGACGCAGTACAGGCCGTAAAACTTTGGTAATAAGGTCCGCTTGTTCTGGTTCAGGTTCTAGACGATGGCAGAGAAGAAGAACGTTTAAAGCGATTTAAATTATTAAAAAACGAAATGGTTGACTAAACTGAATAATACATAAATTATAAATCAAATGAGTAAAAGATAACAAATCATCCCACATTGTTAAGAAATCTTGAGTCGGTGTGTGTCATTTTAGAATGTGCAAATAAGACAGACAATCAAATAATGTAGGGGTAATATTTGGGGATTGAGTTACTTCAAAAATAAAATCTAAGTATTTAAAATCAGTTAAAGCAGAATCTAATGGTTTCTTTTTTCTAAGGATTCATTCATTTCATCTAATCGTTTATTTGAACAGGGACAATGCACATTAATGAACACTTAAGACAATATGCCGGATTTTAGCTTTGAGCTCATTTCCATCCGCAGTCCCTCACATATAAGAACATGACATTTATAAACATAGCAAAAATAAATACATGATATGCAAAAAGAGCAAGAGCAGCACACAAGCATTTACCACATGGCAGTACAATGTAGCAGCAACGACATATAAAGTGCAAGAGGAGATACAAGAGATACATAAAGTGCAAGAGGAGATACCCCTGTGTTAAAGTGCATTTAGCGGTGATTGCACGTCTGTTTGTTTCTCAACCATTCTTTGAGTTGACCTTTAAAACTATTGAGAGTGGGACAATCCCGTATCTCAGTTGGGAGGCTATTCCAGAATGAGCTGCCTTTAACGGAGAGGACATTTTGTCCAAAAGTGGTCCGTCTACGGTGGACTTCACAGTCTCCTCTGGTTTCTGACCTAGTGCAGCGTCCAGTGTGTTTTGTGTGGATGAATTCCCCTGAATTCAGGATCATTGGTCTACAATATGACTGTATTTCTAAATGAAATGTATTCAAATCTATCATACTTTCAAACCAACAGACTAAAGCCAAAAGGTGTTTTTTTAAATGTGAAATTTGCATGGAACGAGCTACAGCCAGTTCATGGAATGCTTTGCATGAAAAAAGGACTAGGATTTAAGAGTAATGGATTATGAAAATAACTGCTGATTCATTCTCATTCTTAGAGTTAAATTGTAACAGCACAAGTTCTATTTAAGATACTTTGAATTTGAGGGATCAATGTACAAGAGTATATTGAGTAGGATTCAGTCCATAGTTTTTTTTTCTCTGCAGATACCATCTTGTACATAAAGCCACTCAACAAATCTTACCATGAAGTATCCTGGAAGCAGTTTCTGCAGAAACTCCGCCTCTTTGTGCTGCACTGTCTTGATGATGAACTCATCATCACTGGAGACGTAGAAGAGAGATCCACTGGCTCCGGAGTTTGACAGCTCTATCAGCGACTCATTACACAAAGAGTACTGGAACCAGACAAACAACACAGACTCAGAGGTTAGAAACAAGCTGGCCAACCTCCTCACAGATCTTTTCGTTATAAAACCTGAAGGTAACCCTCTACTAAACCGACAATCAAACCTAAAAGCAACACATTGCTGTTTAATTGTTTAGACTTTTAAATACTGGATCAGGGATACTTTGAGGTTCTTGAAATCAGATGGGATGAGATTTGATACCTTTACAGTGTGACTGCCCTGTATCACATAGTTGGTTAACAACTTTTAAACATATTTATCCTATTATCAAAATCAATTACTTTGTATGCGTCACCCTTGGTTATTATTTACATTATTTTATTGATGTATCTATTCTATCTGAAAATAAGAATGTGTAGATGAACATATCAGTGATACTGTGTGTGCACTGAAAAGAAAAAAAGAAAAGAGGGAGGGGAGGGAGGGAGTCAAAACAGATCAGCCATGCCTTTACATCAGACGCAGCTCCACCTTCACATTAAGTGTCAACACCCGATTACTTCACACTTCCCCAGTTTCACTCTTTACACTTCCTCAATAACGCCTTTCTTCTCACAGTTCACATCTCTCTTTCTATACTGTTCATGTAGCACATTTTCTGTGAATATATAAGATGCTGAGTAAACAAGAATACCATGTAGTCGTCAGGCCGGATGCCAAACATCTCCCTGAAGTAGCGGAAGGCCATTGGGGCGTATGTCTTGAACCTGAAGTCTCCATAGTGGTGGGCTGGTGTCAGGTTACTGCCCTCACTGCCAGAAAAATACACAAGAGCCAGAGGATTAGACTACATCAAGAGTTAGGTAAAGAAGTAATAATGTAGCACAGACAAAACATCATTACTTCCACACAATATTTAAGACTCGCCTAGGAAAGAAGATGCTTTCGACCACTTCAAAGTCCTGCAGCAGCACGTCTCTCTCAGGTTTCTGAGTTAAGCTGCCCACCGTGTGTGTGATGCCTAACTGGATAGCGCCTTGGAGGGCGGATGATGTTGTCTGGAAGAAAGAGCAATCTCACATGTAATAACAAATATATATATCTATATACAGTGAGGCAAAAAAATATTTAGTCAGCCACCAATTGTGCAAGTTCTCCCACTTAAAAAGATGAGGCCTGTTTATTTTTTTTTAATTTTTGTTTGATATACTTTATTAATCCCCGTGGGGAAATTGTTTCTCTGCATTTGACCCATCCTAGTGTTAGGAGCAGTGTGCTGCCATTTTGAACGGCACCCGGGGAGCAGTGTAGGGAACGGTGCCTTGCTCAGGGACACCTCGGTAGCACTTGGTCTTGCCGGGACTTGAACTGGTGACCTTCCAGTTGCCAAGCCAAGTCCCTATCGACTTCGCCACCACCGCTCTCAACTATGAGAGACAAAATGAGAATCCAGTGTCTGATTTTTAAAGAATTTATTTGCAAATTATGGTGGAAAATAAGTATTTGGTCACCTACAAACAATAAGATTTCTGGCTCTCACAGACCTGTAACTTCTTCTTTAAGAGCCTCCTCTGTCCTCCACTTGTTAACTGTATTAATGGCACCTGTTTGAACTCGTTATCAGTATAAAAGACACCTGTCCACAACCTCAAACAGTCACACTCCAACCTCCACTATGGCCAAGACCAAAAAGCTGTCAAAGGACACCAGAAACAAAATTGTAGACTTGCACCAGGCTGGGAAGACTGAATCTGCAATAGGTAAGCAGCTTGGTGTGAAGAAATCAACTGTGGGAGCAATTATTAGAAAATGGAAGACATACAAGACCACTGATAATCTCCCTCGATCTGGGGCTCCACGCAAGATCTCACCCCGTGGGGTCAAAATGATCACAAGAACAGTGAGCAAAAATCCCAGAACCACACGGGGGGAACTAGTCAATGACCTGCAGAGAGCTGGGACCAAAGTAACAAAGGCTACCATCAGTAACACACTACGCCGCCAGGGACTCAAATCCTGCAGTGCCAGACGTGTCCCCCTGCTTAAGCCAGTACATGTCCAGGCCCGTCTGAAGTTTGCTAGAGAGCATTTAGATGATCCAGAAGAGGATTGGGAGAATGTCATATGGTCAGATGAAACCAAAATAGAACTTTTTGGTAAAAACTCAACTAGACGTGTTTGGAGGAGAAAGAATGCTGAGTTGCATCCAAAGAACACCATACCTACTGTGAAACATGGGGGTGGAAACATCATGCTTTGGGGCTGTTTTTCTGCAAAGGGACCAGGACGACTGATCCGTGTAAAGGAAAGAATGAATGGGGCCATGTATCGTGAGATTTTGAGTGACAACCTCCTTCCATCAGCAAGGGCATTGAAGATGAAACGTGGCTGGGTCTTTCAGCATGACAATGATCCCAAACACACCGCCCGGGCAACGAAGGAGTGGCTTCGTAAGAAGCATGCCAGGCGACGGCCGTTTTCTTGGTTTTGTTGCTGTTTTTCTGGCCAACCTGAAAAGCCGTTTTGTCTTTGAGGGCGAGTTGTATTCCCCTTAAAAAAAAAAAAAAGGCAACATAACGCCCCCAAAACTCTTTTTTTCAGAAACCTCTGAAACCCCCCGATTTTCCCGGTGAAAAAAGCGTTTCCCCCCCCTGGGGAAAAAAAAACCCCCCCCTTTGTTTCTGTTTT